TTCTAGAACCAGACAACCAGTGCCGGGGTTGCAGCGTTGGCAGGCGCCTCGGACAGTGACATGATACGTCTGGAGATCACGTGTCGTGAGACCAGTCCAGGGTCTGGCACGGGCCGGCCGCTGCCGCCTGTAAGTCTTTGGGTATCATCTTGAACACAGCCAGGCCATACAAGCAGCTCAATCAACCGGCTGCTGGGAATTCCACGAGAATAGCATCGTTTCAATTGACATGCACCTCTCACGATCGGCATCACGGGCTGGCATTGAGTGTCAATCGCTTTGCCCCCAACCGGCGTAGCGCCAAGGGCCGGCCGAGCTACATGGCCCACCCCAGAGACACGTCAACCATGCACGGAGCACCGACCACCCGTCACCGGTCCAATCGAGTGCGCGTCGTTGTGTCCGTAGCGCACATCTACATGCCACGGGCAAGCTCACCTCACAATGGGCCATTCCCGTCGCGTTGGAAGGGATTGTCAGGACTTGTGTCGACCTTCTGGAAGCCAGAAACCAAGTTCCATGCCGCCCGCCATGCGCGGAAGCCCCGAGGAGTGCACTCCTACCGACGGCAGAGAAATGTCTGGGAGGCGAAAACCTCGTTCCCGGAAGAGGCAAAAGAACCACGTACACCCGCCTCCGCCTACGAGCACCGCCAGCGTGTCTTGCATTGCATGAACCTTGGGATGGGATTCCCAGAATCTCCCTCCTCGTTGAATCAGTAGCATCTCTCCCCGCGCCGTCCCATCTCACCCAATGCTACCTCGCCGTGATGTGGCGACCCTCATTTTCGTCCAGTGACTTCCATGCAACTGACTCTGACTGCCGGCTGGTTCGCAGTCAGATGAAGTGAAAATCGATCTCCATCAGTGGACAATGGTTTGCGACGAATCCAACCGAACCGAGTCAGATTGTCGATGAGGCGGTCTGCAGCACATGCTGCCGTGCGACCCCCGCGAGACTTCACCGTACGCCCGATCGGCCGATGCGTCACTCGGTGTAGCCGGAGCATCAGCACCGATGCGGTAGGTCACAGCCATTGGGTGTTTTCACGGTTTCTTCTATTCTTCTCGCCGACTCTACCGTTGCGCCATTCATCGTTCCAGACGGGCTTCCCCCACACAGCCCTCTCTGGTGATTACAACTCCGCCATGGCTATTCGTGTTCGTTCGATAGGTATAGTCGTCTTCCCAGGGCCTGGAGACCCTTTGCTGCCTCACACCACCGTCCTCAATGCCGCGGGCTATCATCTACCAGTCGAGGGACCCCCAGAAACAGAAAGGAAAAAGGAAATGCCGTTACAACATGGTTTGAAGGAAACATAAAAAGATAAAAACACCTCCGAGATGCATGCCATTTCCTTTATCGCGTATACTGTTGGCCCTCTGCATTGTGTCAACGTTACAAAAACCGAACCCGTCTTCCGAACACCAAGGCAGTGTGTGTGAATGTACTGGAAACACGTCCCATCAGGTTTTGCGTGGTATCATAGCCTCCTCGCTCCTATTTGTCCTCGCTAGGCCCCCCTTTCCTTTTTTTTTTTTTTTTTTAAATTGCGCCGTCGTCTATTGCCCGTTGAATTGCTGCTCCTGCTCCATCTGCTGAGTCGCCGCGTCCACATTATGGTAGTCGAGTATCTCAGAGTACCTGTAAAAGCCCTGTTAGCATTCGAATCGGTGTCAGTGCGTGCTCGGGGCGACATACATCATGATCTTCCAAGTGTCCACTGGCAGATCGGCGTCGTTGAAGCTCCAGTCGAACTTCTCCTCAGCCACGGGCTCATCGGTGGGGTCATGGTAAGGGGCGAGGTAGTCGTGCGAGAGCGCCTCGGTGGCCGTTACTCTCTTCTTGGGGTCGAAGACGAGCATCCTCTCCAAGAGGTCGATAGCCGACGGGTCGGCATTCTTAAACTTGTTCTTCAGGGGTTGCCTCTCGCGCTTGGGGAGCGACTTGACGAAGCGGAGGGTCTGCGGGGTGATTAACTTCTAGGCATCTCACGACATGATGGCTCACTCACGTTTTCGCTAGCAATAGTGTTGATAACATCGTCGGGGGGAGTACCCAGCAGCTCAGTGATGATGGAGAACTGGTTGACATGGTCTTTTCCGGGGAAGAGAGGCTTGCCCTCGAGCATCTCGGCAAAGATGCATCCCGCGCTCCAGATATCAACCTCGACGTCGTACTTTTGCCACGTGAGCATGATTTCGGGGGCACGGTAGTATCTCGTCGAGACGTAGCCGGTCATCTGGGGGTCCTGGATACGAGCGAGGCCGAAGTCGCAAATCTTCAAATCGCAGTTCTCGTTGACGAGGATGTTGCTGGGCTTCAGGTCACGGTGAACAACTCCAGCGGAGTGGACGTATTTCAATCCGCGCTGCGACGCGGTCAGCATATTGGCGTCGGGTGCTACAGAGAGAGCGGAAGCATACCATAATCTGATAGAGGAAGTACTGAATGAACTGCTTCTCCAAGGGCCTGGAGGTGAGAAGCCTGTGCAAGTCGGTGCCCAGCAGCTCTGTGACAAAGTAGATATCCTCGAGGGGAGAGATGAAGATGTCGCTCAGGGAGATGACCTGCTGCGTGTTAGAGCCTGCCCGATGGTTGACAACTACTATCCGCAACATACGTTCTCGTGCCTGAGGTGCTTGAGCAGCTTGAGCTCTCTGTATGTGCGCTTGGCGAGCACCGGGGTGCTGAAGGGCTTCATGATCTTCTTGACGGCGACATTCTGGTTGGTGAGCTGGTCACGGGCGGAGCTGGCAGCAGAAACGGCATGTCAGCAGGATGATGGGAGGCTCGCAGCGGCTGCGAGTGCCGCTGCGACGCACGCAGACTTCTCAGACTAACCAAACGAGACCGAAGGCGCCCATGCCTACGGGTTGCAGGTCCGAGTACCTTGAGGTGATCTCAAAGGTCGTACCAAAGATTTGTGCTCTGATGAATTCCGCCATTTTGTGCGACGGTCGATCTTCGCGATCGGGTATGTTGTGTGTGGTGAACAAAAGGGAGAGTTGAGATTGGCGATGGGCGGCTGTCGAGAACTAGAGAGAAGGGTGTGAGGGGTGGTGGAGCAGGAGACCGGCTGTCGGGAGATCGACGGAACAGGTTATGCTCTGGTTGCACTTTTTTTTTTCCTTTCGTTGCGGTGTTGAGGGAATAAACGGGCAAAACGAACCAAGTCGAATAGAGCGATGCTTTGATATCGACCGAGGGGGGTTCTGCGGTTAAAATGCGATGGTGCAGCTGGAGGGAGGGATGACGGGCGGAGGACGCTGGAGTTGGCCGGGTTTGGAAAAGGAACCAGTGACGGCGGGGAGCGAGCTTCAAGGAATTGTTTCGCAGGAGGGGCGGCTGTTCGGCGGGGCGTCCAGGGCGAGGAAGAAGAGGAGGACCTGGTCGAGGCGTGCAAAAGGCGGCGGGGTACCGAAAGTGGCAGCAGGTGCACACACACGTCTAGACTGGCTCAGGCTCTGGCGTTTTGCTGGGATCTGGAAAGCACCTGGGCAACCTATTGCACAGCGTGGCGACGGCATTAGCGAGCGCGCTCCCTTCCTCTCTCTTTAAACTTGTGCAAGGAGCAGCAGTACAACTGGTAGTAGCGAATTACAGCAGTCGGGGCAACAAAGCGAACCACAGCAAAGCAGAGCAGAGCAGAGCGACCGAAGGGGGGAAAAAACAAGAGAAACCTGGTTTTCTGTCCGTGACGTCTGCTTTGCCCGGCTGGCCCCCTCCCCCCTACCCTACAGGCCGTCCTTCGCTTTTGCATAACGTAGGGACGCCATTTGCTACATGGGCAACTCTATGTCGAGGGCGCGGCCGCGGTACAAGATGGGGCTGGCTTGTTTGGGGAAATTGACGGGGGTGTGTTGAACTGAGCAACCAGTTTGTGATACTAGCACAATTGGATAGCTTACCTGCGCAATTACCGTGGACGGCGTTTCCAAAATGTCCTTCTCTGTTGCTCTCTCTTTTTTCCACCTGCTCTTCAGAGTCTTTCTCTGTCTTCTCTTGTTCCAATAGTCCAGACCGTCTGTTCGCCGGGTTCAAGTCCGGTAGCAGGGAAGCTCGAACCAAAAGGTGGCCGTAGTTGGGTATGGGCGGTGCAAGTGGCGGGCGCACGTGGAGAATGCAGCAAGCAGCAAGTGCGCACGAATGTCGATCAGTCGTCGCCGTCGTCTGCTCTTGTTGCCTTCGCGGTGAGAGCGTGAGGTGGATCTACAGCAACTCGTTGACAGGGTGTGTTGCCGAGGTCGAAGTGCCGCTGCGGTTCCGCGTTTGTTCGTAGTTGTTTTTCTTGTCTCTAAGAGAGAAGAGGGGGCTAGAGATGCTTGTGATTGAGTCTGGAAGAGTGAAAGATCGAGCAGAATCAAAACCAAGACAGACACAACGGCTTCAGCGTGGAGGGGGAAAGTGGTTTTTAATTGTTCCAGAAAGGGCCTTGACCTGGGATACTCAGCGGAGCGGATGGGGGGAGGGGGTGAGGGGTGCAAGCAGGGAAAGCACACGCTGGACTTGCTGGCTGGCAGACAGACACAGCTTGGTGTTGCTTCTGAGGTGTGTTGAACCGTGAAGCGTGGGAGAGAGAGCCCGGGAAAGGAGCTGCCCACTCCGCCTAGGCTTGCTCAGGAGTGTAAGGTGGTGTACCTGGGTAGGCAAGGGTGCTGCTGCGAGATACCTGCGGGGACGGGGGTGTGTGGTGGAAGGGAACGGGAATTGGAACGGTCAATTGTCCCAGACGAGCCACAGTACTGCGTACACAGCAGAGGTACAGTAATGTCAGCTGCGGCAGCTCTCACTGGGCGAAACGACGACTGAACGGGGCCCGGCGTACCGTTTTCTGCCCAGCAAAAGTAGCCCCCGAGCCAAGCACATAACACAAGGTGGTGCCGAACCAAGAGACGTCAAATCAGATCCAATGGAGAGAAACGTCCGACGAGAGGGCGAGATCGGGAGACGAGAAGCCAGCCAAACCAGACATCAGGCTGTTTTCAACTTGTCTGAAGTTACCTGTTTATCAATGTCTGATCCCGCGAACCTTGGCCGCCTCTGTCTGTCTCTGTCTTGCACTGTCCTGGCCTCTCGAGAGGAAAGGGGAATGAGAGAAACACGGGTTGGACAGACTGGGCAACGAGGAGGCAGACAAACGCGCAGTCAGCCGGGCTAGCAGGAGCCGGCAAGCATCGAATTGCAATAACGCGGCCGATATCCAACTCGCGCCGAGAGATAACGACCAGGGCGTGTGTCACGAGCGCCGGTGCATGGAATGGTCTGAGCATCAGCGGCACCACAAACCCATCTTATTCCAGCCCGCCACGGCACGAATATGAGCCCACGAGAATCCGGAAAAGTGTGGGAATTTGCAACAATGCCATGGCTCGCCTTGCATGCTCTCAGCCGCCCATTCCTTCCCCTCTCTTGCTGTCTTTCCTCTTCGATGCGGCCCGGGATCATCAGCAGCTTCGGACGGACTAACAGACTGACGGACGAGTCACAGGCCGGCCTGCTCATTCACATCGCTGCCCGTGGTTAGCAGCGGCGCTGCATCAAGCGAGGCAGGATAGAAAGAGACATGGTGTTTTGGATCCTCCTTGCCAACCTGCCAGCCCTGCCTGCCTGGGCCATGCAGCATGGACATAGGACATTGCTCAAAACGATCGGAATCGAAGGCGGCGGCCTTGCATCGTGACAGCATAATTGGATGCGCCGGCCAACCCACCCAACCACAGCCCCTCCAAATGTCCACCATTGATTCTCAGAAATGCCATGTTTTGCTCGACGCACTTTTGCCGTTTCCCGCTTTCCACGATCGATCCTGGATGCTGTCCAGGCCAGGCCCCCCGTTGAGAAGACGGTGAACGGCTGTCCAACCATTACGGTGCCGTCGCTGCGGTGGTGTCCGCGGGCAGCACACACACCACCCTCCATACTATGCAGTACCTACACAACACCACCGACTTCAGGGTTGTCCCCTTGCAACTCGTATCGGCCGATCGACTCTGTTTCCCGGCATCATGGATTAGGACACAAAAGGCAACGCGGTAACTAACCTTTTCTCAGGTCGTTCTTGACTTTGCGTGCAGAGAGCGCCGAATGGTAATTCCCATGGTCGATCTCATGTTTTACCCATATTCTTCGCGCGGCAACTCCGTCTCTGTCACGTTGCATGTGCCAATGCAAATGCACCGCGCCTGTCTGTGCCTGTGCCTGCATTTCATTGTTGCTCGCGGCGGCGGTATCTCCCCCCCTCCACTCACCGCTGATGGGGGACGCGGGACGCAGCACGCATACCTGACAACCTAGTTTGCACCTTGCCCAGGCCTATCCAGTCGTGTCAGTCGAACCGGACTGATTCCCGGCCGCCCAACCACGAAACCATCCCGCAGCAGCAAGCTCCCAAGACTCCAATTCAGTCCGGGGGGTGTTTGCGTGCGTGTGTGCAGCTCTCTCTGTGGCCTGGCCTGGGACACCACTGCTAGCAGCATAGAAGCATAGGGCCAGCAGAGAAAAACAGACTCCGAGTCTCCCAAACCCCACCATGGCCAGTGACGTCATTTCGCGATCGCATCGAGATGGCCGACATGCTGGGATGGCCATGGTCCATGGATGCGTGGGACGGGATGGTCTGCGCTGTCGCCGCGCCAGGAAGGGGGGCGTGTGTCCTCCCAACTCTCCAGTGTCCCCGTCCCGCAGCCCCCTGCCACCCCCCCCCCCCCCCCCGACGGTGCGCCCTCCAGTGAGCTGCTCTCCAAAGAGTCCAGTGCCTCCTCCTGCGACTCCATCTGGCCCTTCCAGGCTCTGGCGTTTGCTCTAGCGTTTCCCTCCCTCTGACAGCCTGCCTAAGCCGCTCACAATCCGAAGAGCTCCTCAGGCTTCAGAGGAATCACGATCCCACTACGCATACCGCGACGCAGGTACTTTCCTCACCAAAACCCCACCGAAACAGTACCTCCGTCCCATTAAGGGCCCCCGATCTGATTCCAGGCCCTGACCGTCTCCTCTTTAACCGAACATCGACGGCGAGGGCGAGGATCGGTGAAACGCAGCAGACGGTGGCCCCCCCCCCCCCCCCCCCCCCCGGCAGCGCGATGTTGCGCCAGAGGGGGTGTATGCCTTTCGACCTTACTGGACCGCCCACCGTATTGGACGCACAGCAGCTTTTTCTTTTCCTTTAGTGTTCCCACGACGCCAAAAGAAAAGGGCCCCCAAAACTTCCCGTCACGAGAGCTTCTGCGACTCTAGAACCCAACAGCCGCATGTTCTAGGCCGGCCTAAATGTGCCAGTTCAGCGCATTACCTGCTGTAGCTGGACATATCTCCGCAGCGCGCATTTCACCATTTTTATCGTCTGCCGCTCGGCTCGCCTTGGAACATTGAGAGTGTGAGAGGGCTCAGGATATTCTCCCTCACGACCCCCCGTCCGATGGGCAAATCTAGGCTAGAGCCGCGCACCGGCTGACCGAGTTCTTGGGGCAAGCCTCGGTCCATTCCTCTTTCGACCACGTCGTGTCCTTTTGTGCAGTATAATTCACGGCGTCCAGCCGATTCAATTCAGTCATGTTGGAGTCGTCGATCGCCCATGCCACGCAGAGCAAGCTGCTCTGGCAGACACACGCATATTGAACCGGTTCCACGACTCGACTGCTGAGGCTCCGTTCTGGCCGTCTTCCGTTCCGCCAGCGCTCCATGTCCGTTCCGTCCCCGTCCACCAGATAACGTTGAGGGCCGACGCATGCTCCGTCCGATGGCCCCCGCCCTGCCTGCCGAGTACCACCGCATGTACATCCCGTCCTCGGGTGGGCAATACCAAGCGAGCGGCTTGCGTACGCAGACTCGGTCCTTACGTCCAACGCCCGTCATCATGGAGTCGTAAACGAAAAAAGTCGTGACATATGCCCTGGGTCGGCACCGGCACCAGCAGGGAAAAAAGGGGTCCATCTCACAACGAAGCAAGATCCAGCCGACGGGGCTCCTTTGGTTCCCCTCCCCAGGGGTCAACCTGTAAGTAATCCTTTCCGGTGATGCTATCCCGGGACGATGATGATGATGGATGCTGATCAGGTCCAGAAAAGAATAGGGGACCGCAGGAATCCACTTTCAACATGCGCAGATGCTGGGCATTGGTGGGAGTCGGTTGCCAGATTTACTTCTGCCCCAACCACACGCATTCACGCACGGCGTGACGAACCACCGGCCACCAAAAGGCTCCGTCCAAGGACCCCTTCGAAAAGGGACCCTGAACTCTGCTGCCTCTGCCGAACTGACGATCCCCTCTCTGCTGGGTAAATCCAAACGGAACGACGCCAGATCTCGATGGGCGCATGGCCGCGTGCAAACCCATGGCGTCGTCGACCGTCCGCCTGGAAAGCGTAGCGCGAAGCCTCAAGCCTCACCACGGCACCGTCGAACGCCTCGTCGCAGACCACGAGACTTCCCAAGACCCCAAAGACCCCTTTACGACGGCTCCCGCCTCCGTCAAGACGGACTGCGAAAAGAAAAAGAAAGAAAAAAACCTTCACCGTGACACTGACTGACTGACTCTTTCTCTCTACTCTCACTGCTCAAAAACCAAGGCATACATACATCCACGTCCGAAATAACTTCAACGCACGAATCATTACAAAAGACAACCTCAAGTGACACCCAAACACCCCACCACGGCCCCCATTCCGTTGCCGGCCGGAACACACACACACACACACACACACACACACACACACACACGCCTCGAGTTCACACACTTTTTTTGTCTGCTGCTGCTGCTGCCGCTGTTGCGTTCCAGGGACCCTTTTCTTCCAAGCATCCCGTTCCTGTCGTTCCTCTGATGTCATCCTGCATCTGGCAGGGCTGGGGGTGTTTGGGTTCCTTGGTCCCTTGATTTTTTTCAGTCCCCCCCTCAGACGACCCTTGCCCTCGTCTTTCCGGACCATGTCTCCCGGACCGACATGCTCGCTGCCATAGGTACTGTAGGCATCCCATACCAGAGGCTTTGCAGCTTCTTGGTTGTTTGGCAGTCTCTCATCCCGCGGCCTCTGAAAGCCTGGAACATGCAGAGTGCGCACCCATTGACTTTCTAGAACGCGACTGACCGCCTCTATCCATGGTCACATTCTCGTAGCTCAGGATGGCGTTCACGGCGTGGTACCGGTACCCGCCCCATCTGCCCATGTTCAACTTGTTCCGAGGTGGATTTCGCGTCATCAAAAACGACGCCCACCTTGCGGCATAATTACGTCACTGAAGCTAAATAGTGCCCCGCCGTTCCCAACCCCTGCCCAAACAGTGTCGACGCTCACGTCTTCCGCTCGCGTAATCCTTCCGTGTCTGCATTAACTGAGTCGGCGTTGCACACAGTCGAGTCACTACACACACACACCTCAACGTCTGCATTGGACAAGAGTTTCAGGACTCGGGCTTTAGATACTTGATAGCCTATACAAAGAAAAGATATTATCTAGCACTGGTGTTTCTGCAGCGCTTTCCTAGGAGTCAAAGTGCAGTAGGTACTTGGTTTTGTCCGCGCCTAACCGACCATCATCTACCGGCCCCGGTCTGTCTCGTGTATCCAAAGTGTATTCGTCTACTCGTCAACCTTGAGAGGCTCGACGTTCCAAATCTCCTCTGCGTACTCGTTGATGCAACGGTCACTGCTGAAGAAACCCATGCGGGCCACGCTGGTGATGGACTTGGTGATCCACTCCTCCTGGTTCTTGTACGCCTCGTCGACGAGGTGGTGCGTCTCAATGTAGCTGTTGAAGTCGTCCGAGACGAGGTAGTAGTCGCCGTGGTCGCGGACGGCCGAGATGAGGGCCTGGAAGTCGGACGGCGAGCCAAAGGTGCTCTGCTCAATCGCCGAGAAGACCTTGGCAAGGTTCTCGTCGATCGAGTGGGAGCCGTAGGTGTGTGCATGGCGGAGATCCTCGACATCCTCGGCCAGGTTGCCAAAGAGGAAGATGTTGCTCTCGCCAATCTCGCGGGTGATTTCAATCTAATCTGGTTTCAGCACTGATCGTCCAGACTTGTAGCATACTACTTACGTTGGCACCGTCGCATGTTCCGATGATGAGACCGCCGTTGAGCACAAACTTCATGTTGCTCGTTCCCGAAGCCCTGCGTGGTGTTAGTCTCCATCAGTCCAAAGCTCGGAGGCTACTCACTCAGTGCCGGCGGTTGAAATGTGCTCGCTCAAGTCGGAGGCGGGGATAATCATCTCGGCCTTGCTGACGTTGTAGTCCTCGAGGAAGATGACCTTGAGCAAGTCACCAATCTCCTCGTCCTT